AAATTTATACATGTCCAAGCGATACTGGATAAATTTTTGTGCGCCGTGTTTGATATCATAGGATCCTCACCAGTAGTCACGTGGACCATCAAGAAAACGGAAGTTGCAGAAGTTGGTCAAACGGAAGTGAGAATACCATGATGTGATTGGTGAAATGAACAGCGCAGGTTGCACACAATTCTCGCCCGGGTAGGGTAGAGAGGTCGCGGTGCAAGAGTGTCTTGTAGATCTCGTTGTTTGGTTTTCAAAGCCGTCCATTGCGATCGCCAGTTAACAAGGTAAGCTTGTTTTTAAATTCACCTACGAGGTAGCCTGGCATTACTTTTGTACCTCTTGGCTCGAAAACAACTTCGTAACTATAAAAATAGCCTTTTATTTCAAGGCCTTCACTTTCAACTTGCACGATGTAAGTGCATGATGAGACGGGCGAGGTTGTTGCTATATTACTCAGTTGTTTGATGTTCATTGTACAGGTTTTTAGGCGGTTGTAAAACGTATCTTTCAGCCTTTATGGAGTGGAATACAACGTACATTTGACTAAAGAGAGCATGGGATTCGGATACAAGAGACAGGGCAGGCTCAACGCGATTTAGCGCGCACCCACTAATAAATTTGTGCCTTACTAAACCCATATACAACGTTGATATCTCCTTGTTGATTAGCTTTTGCTTGTTTTGGGTTAACTTAGCCTAAGGGAGCAACTTCAGCCACTTGTCGGAACGCTGTAAAGAACGAGGCTGCAGGCATAACACAACAGGCACTTTTATTTATTCAACGAGATGGAAATAAGTGGGGGTGTTTAGGTTTTATGTGTCCCGGGAGAGTGAAAGTTGCTCCACACACCTTCTGGGCCTTAGCCATCTTCGTTTGTTAGGCTTGTGTTCAAGAAAGTCTCTTTCTTGTGACAAAGGAAAATATATATATTATATAGGCTTTTACGTGAAGTTGGTAATTTTGTTTTTTTTTTAAAGAAATCAGTAATATTGTCAAACTAAAGAGGGATTAATATATTCCTTATGGACTTCAGTGGTCTAGTGTGTCTAAATATAAATAGCATTTGTCAAAGCCACATTGTGTACTCACATGTTTACATCATCCTGACCACAACCTTTTAATTGCTCTTGTATAACCAAAATTAATATAAAATGTGGACATTTTCATTCCTTCTTCTAAAAAATACCATCAGGTTTGAGAACAACAACAACCTTGAGTATGAGTGAATTGTTTACCTCTTTTAATATAAGTCCTTAATGGACATAAATTCTTCAGAAATATGTTCAAGAAAATAATTAACAATTATTGAATTGAATGGTGAAATCATTAATTTATTAATGATGGTTAATTACCCAGTAAAGAGATATTGAATGTCCCTTACAATTGACCACGTGGTCTGGAGTCATCTTTTTGTAAGATGCGAAGAGACGAGGCATAAGCTCTTACCCACCTCTCCTGCATTATTATTTTTACACGATTTTGTATTTTCAATTTCCACGTTTCTTAGTTTTAATAAACTCATTTTGACCAAACTGTTGTGTCATCTCGATAGCGAGGGTTGATTAGGTAGAGTATGATCGATTGGAAGAATTATGGAGAGGGGAGGTGGATAACACCCCCTAAAGTTGAATCCATAATTCTTTATATATTATTCATTCAAAATAACTCCTAGTTTAAAAACAAGCGATGTTAAGTTCCTGTCTTCAATTGCCTGTCTCTTGGCATGTTCAGGAGATAAAGGAACTTCAGAGTTCTGCAGATTTTCTTCAAATACCAGGTGGCTCGTTGATTTGTATTCCTGTACTGTTCTTGCCATGTTTTTTAGTAGTAGTTCAGCCTTTCTTTTGTGGGTGGGGAGGACATATGAAATGGTCCACCATTTTGTATTGCTCTGCCAAAACAGTGCAGCTTCATCCCCAGAGCTTGGTTACCAGTTCGGTTTGCCAGTCCATTTTTCTGGCAATTATGTTGTTCTTATTGACGCCATGTTCCGCATATTGCTGACATACTGAAAACAGGTTAGGAAAGATCACTAATAATGAAAGAACAATACTGAATAAAATTAATATGAATAACACCATAGGAATGGCTTATGCACTTGGAGAAAAGAGTTTAAAAGACAACACACTTATTCCAATACTGTTTTACTGTTTGAAAAATACTACCTATTTCAAATTCTCAAGTTCTCATTTTTTTTAAACAGTTAAAGGATGTCTGCAAGAGGTGCACGATCAGAGTATGTGGAAGAGTTGCATCTCGTCAGGAACAATGGGCAGCCACACAGGCCACAAATTACTTGGACTTCATGGCAGACATGGATATCTATCGTCATCCCCGCACCATTCGTAACTCTGGCCTCATTTGCACCCTTGGTAAAGAATTCAGAAAACTTATTTTCTATTATAATTAACAATTATTCCAAGAGTTGCGTTGGATATGAGATGGCTATGATCATCTCATATCCAACAAGTGCAAGTGGAATATATTTTGTTTTATTAAAAACACCCACAAAATATTGAGAATTCTTCCCTACTTTATTTGAAGAAACGACTGATTTTCTGCTTGTTTTTAATTTTGAGCGGATGCGTACAGTTACCCTATTTGGAGAGCGTGGTATAATGGCTCATATAACATATGGCTAAGCCAATCAGAACTCTAAATTGCATTATCCAATGATTCAGTTTTTAATAATTAACAATGTCTGAAATGTTATTTAATGAATACACGTTGAGCCCTTGATTGATTTGAAGATCAGTGGAAGCCCCTTAAGCTAACAAATAATCAGGGATTTAAAATCACCAGTTAGAGAAAAAAAAGGAAAAATATTTCTTTTACGAATTCTAATACATTAAATCACCTTATACCTACATACCTACATACTCACCTTGAGTGTATGCTCATCTGATCCAAGATCATTTTCCCACACTATAAAAGTATATCTCAGCCTGCACAATTTTGAGTTGTCCCAAAGTTGGAAGTTGGTGGGGGTGCTGCCCTTGAGCTTGGGTCAATTATGGGCATCATGAACCTCTGATCTTTTGCTGTTTTTTATATTTAGGCCCTGCCTCAAGAGATCCAAAGATCATTTCTGAGCTGATTGAAAATGGAATGAACATCGCAAGGTTGAATTTCTCACATGGGACTCATGAGGTACATGTATTGACAAATATTTTGTCATTTATTATTATATTAACATTAATTTTGGATAAAAATTAATTAAACAAAATTGGAATTTTTGTGTTACCAATAGTCCCATATATATGATACAATAGTTAATTTTTTTATCTCAGGTAATTATAAATTCTTTTTTGGTTCAACTTCATTAACATAAAACAAAAAGAAAAATTTAATAAAAATTACCTGAGATAAAAAATTAACTTTATATATAACAAAATTATGTACACTGGACTAACCTTTTTGTTTTGTTTGCTTGTAAAAGAATATCCAGGAAATGCTCTATTGTTACACTCACAAACGAAAAACACATGCAAATTGAAAATCTTGTCTTCTTACCCACTGCCTCCCCTACATTTTCATAAAATGAGTCTCACAAGGGTGAAGTCTGGTGAAAGCTGATCAAACACACGTCTGCCTCCCCTCCGCTAAAAAATATTGCAGAAGGAGAAGAAGAAAAGGAAAGCAATCATTGTCTGCCCCTCCCCCTTTTTTCTTCTTCAAAGTTTTGACTTTTAAAGTATGAAAAAAGACAAGCTATCAATGAAGTTGTTGTTAAATAGCATAGTACACAGCTTCCCCAAGAAGTCTAACAGTTGTGAGATGTGGTTTGCATTTTACTTAACATATTTATATAACTGCATTCTTGAAGGGTTTGAAGGAAATAGTTACATGTACCATGCATCTTTGAGATACCTGTCGTGAAATAAATTTTTCATTGTGGCTAATGTTTAAAAAAGAATTTTGTTGATTGTATGTCTCATTAAAGTCACTTGGATATTGATCATAAGTTTTGACAGCATTCTACAGGTCTTCATCAGGCAAGATGCCTGATAAAACATCAAATGAGGTAAACTTAATGATGCCCATTTTGTTCATTTAAGTCTCCTGTTTCTTTTAAATTTTTGTTGTTAGTATCATGCAGAGACCATTGACTTGGTGAAGCAAGCAAGAATTGAAGAATGGCCCCATGCTGTCGCCATTGCACTTGATACGAAAGGGCCAGAGATCCGAACTGGGCTGCTAAAGTCGGTGAGTGTATTGACAGAAAGCAGATTGTAATTCCCACAAGGGATAAGTCTAAAAAAAATTCTGAAGGAAAGAGAAGCAACTAGGAGGAGGAGGAAAGGGAAGTGAACCTGGTTGCCCTGTGGCCCTAGCTCCCGCCAGTCTCCTGTAGCTTAGCGTTAGAGCATCTGGACTAGTGATAAGGTCATAGGTTCAATTCCTATTTGGAGTACTCAGATTTTTCCTTCCAAGCCACCTGTGTCACTGATTGAAAAATCATCATATCTCCATAATTGTGCATAAGGAGGGGGCATTGAGATCTATAAAAAAAACTGAAAAACCATGCAAAAAATCACCCAAAACAGAAAAAAGGTATTAGATTTCGATCAAAACCCAAAAACTGAATTCAAAATCATCACAACCAAAGATGAATGTACACACCTCAATGTCCAAAACTCTAATTGCTATGAATAGTTGGTAGCACGGAACATGTGGAGTAAACAATATCACATCGTCTTCATTCTAAATCATGATTTATCTCCTCACAGTATGAGCACTATCTAGAGGTGATTTGGTCATAAAAGCGCTATATCTGGTGTCATTTCATATTTTAGAACAATTCACAAAGATCCTCGATTGAATAGCACTAGAGGACTGTGGCGGAATATGTGTGATCATAAAAAGCAATTGTATATACCTCCATCAAAAATCCGGACCCCTTCATTGCCGTTTTGAGAACTTAGAGGTGGATTTGATTTGATTTGGATGTTGCAGCAATCAGTCACCTAAGACCTGGATTGACTTTAAAATAGACACATCTAAATTAGTCTAGAAATACGTGACTGCAAAGAGAGGAATCTAACTGACACAGTTTGTTCCTTTTTGTCATTAACAGGAACTTAATGTGACTTTTTTACTATGGAAGATAAAAGTAATTAACTTACTGTTTCCTCTCAACCTTGTCATGCAGACAAAGAAACAGGAAACCAAAATAATTGGAAAAATGGAAAACCACATCGGATGGCAAATAAAAAAAAATGCTTGTTTTTGCCAAAACCGAAAACCAGATGCTAAAAAGCAAAAAAAAAAGCGCAAACCGCAACAGACAACCAAAAACCGCAATTTTTCAGTGCAAAACTGATAAACTAACTTAAAAAATGACCAATTTATTTTAACCAAAAAACCGAAAATATACGGAATATTGCACAGACCTGATTCTTGTTGAGTTTTTTGTATATTCGTCTTATATTTCCCAGATTCTGAACTTTCTGTATTGAATGGTTTGCATTTTTATTCTCATTGGCATGACACTGAAAACAGAGAATATGTAGTCCTGCTATAGTCTGCTACACAGCTCACACAGTGCTCCTGGAGAGGAGCGTTGCATGACGGCACTAAAAATGGCTGTGTAGTAGACTAGTCGTGCTATGATCTTTTAATCTGTAGAGAGGTTACTTTTAAAGCTTGATCAAAGAATAATGTACAAACTTGTACTTATCAGGCAGAAAATAAACTAAGGATTTACCTGGTGTATTATCCTGTGAGAAAGCTCTCCATTTATGACAAGCAAAGGAAGTCACAAGAGATTGCGAGGGCCATGCTGCTCTTGCGTCTCATTACTCCCTCCAAATGGAGAGCTTGCTCACAGGCTAATGATGGACTAGGAAACAGAATTAACTTTAAAGTTAACCTGCGTAGCTGGCGGTATTGTGTCGGTGAGCGATTAACGTTTTGGCGGCAGAGGTGTGATCCAAAACAGGGAGTGGAGACAAGGCTTCACCACCAAATCTCACTCGACTGCTTCACAATACTGCCAGCTATGCAGGCTACTTTAAAGTTTGATATTGAAGGGTGGAAATACATGCAACAAATTCTAGCCACTTTTCATGCTACATGTACATTGTTCCACATTGTTGCTCATAGCAACATTTTGTCATTGCTTCATGCAGCATTGTTTGTTCTGCAACATGCTGCCAACTGAAACAACAAAACAACTAGTATAGCAAGAAAAATTCCTCTCAAACTGATGAGGCGAAATTGTTGCTTGAAGAATTGCTCCAATGTGTTGCCAGTATTACCACCCCTTAAGAAACGAAGGGATTAAAGGAGGGATTAAAGGAGAGAGTGTAAAATGTATCAACAAATGAATTGACCTAAAATTATGTTGTTATTTATTACAGGGGGGTAGTGGAGAGCTCTCCCTTGAAAAGGATGAATTACTGAAACTTTCCACAGACAAAGCACATTATGACCAAGGAGATGAAAACACCATCTTTGTTGACTACCAGAATATCACAAACGTTGTAAAAGAGGGGCAGATTATTTTTGTGGATGATGGACTGATCTCTCTGAAAGTTGTGGAGATTGGGAAAAGCCATTTACTGACCAGGGTTCTAAATAATGCTAAACTTGGCAGTAAAAAAGGTGTCAACCTGCCTGACGTTGAAGTAGACTTGCCAGCATTGTCAGAACAGGACATTAAGGATATTCATTTTGGTGTTGAACAGGGGGTAAGTGTTTCTGTGATCACTAATGCAAACGTACAATGTAATATCATTGTTATCTCCAGTCTAATTATTTGTAAAGTGAAGAAATCATCCTCTTCGCGGGATGTTTCCAAGGATAATAAAATGTGCAACATTTTGATAAGAAGTTTGAAATTTGCAAAACTAGTCTTCCAGTCTTTGAAAAATTCTGAAAGATAGAGATACCGGTAGTCTCTTTAACAATTTCCTGACAAACAAGAGAGACTAGGTCCACAGCCAAGGTGGCTACCATTTTCGTCACTAAGACAAACTACTGAGAGATAGGAAAAATTAAACTTAAAAACGTTACTCGACGTTCCGATGTTTGACGAACATCATTAACAAGAGTGAGAAATGTTAAATTTCAAAGCTGTTTAAAGAACTGAGGTTTGAATAAATTAGATTGTATTAGTGCATGCTTCATTTTTAGGCAGATTTCTAAATAGAAAAGCTTAGCGCCATTCGAATGCTACTGCACGTTCATAGCCTTCGTCGGACCCCTCCCCCTCTCCGATTTTTCCTGAGGGAAGGGGAGGTCTGTACATAGGCTACACGTTCAGTGATGGTTTGCGTTCTCAGTGTATAAATAGTATCTCGTAGACAAGGCGTCTCTGAACGTGCGGAGAACTCTACACAGCAATGAAGCATGCACGAATACAATCTCATTTATTCAAACTTCAACTCTTCCTAACCCAACTGACCGCCCCTAGGTCTCTGAGGATGACTGGTTACCTGTGCACTGTATATTTTCCTTGTCACAATCATGTGCTTATTGTAGACATTGTACTCACAGAATTCAACAAGTTAATACGATTTTATCACTAAAAACAGTAGTAAAAAAGCCTGACATGTTTGAAGCCCATCTGCCATTTTTCATTTTCGTGTTTGACCCTTGTACTGAAGCCCACTAACAAAAGTTTTCTGTTTCCTTCTACACAAGTTTAACTTCCTTGGCTTTGTGCTGGCAGTCTTTGGCTCCTTCCTTCTTCTTCTATGTCTGTTTTAGTCTCAATATCAATAAATCAAACGTCTGTGACTTTTATCTGTCTGCCCGCTTAATGCAGACACCTGGATAATACGGACACTATGGCATGTCCTCTATTTATCTCCGTTAACAGGGTTCCACTGTATCAGGGGCACCCAACGAGAATATAGTTCAAAACCACTTAAACATAGCATTGTTAAACTTATTTTAGTATTTAAACAGTAGATATAGGGATATTTTTATCCTCTAAAAAGTTTCCATCTGTTCGGATTTCCTAGCTGAAAGTCTAGTGATCCGAAAATTATAGGGATCAAAACTTACCTTTTCGAAAATTTCAGCCAGAAAAAAGGCTCCCGAAAATTCTAGGTGACCTTTTTAGGGTAAAAATCCGTTCAAAATGGGCAATTATACCATTTTTTAGATGTTCGAAAATCCTAGGAGAGGCAGGCAAGCAAGAAATATTTTCCGAAAATTGACGTTGGGTGCCCCTGACTGTATATCAAACATCATTATTTGTTGCATTGTCGTTGTTTCTAGGTGGACATGATATTTGCTTCATTTATTCGCAAAGCTCAAGACATAAAAGACATACGCAGTGTATTGGGTGAGAAAGGAAAAGGAATCAAGGTTATCGCCAAGATTGAGAATCATGAAGGAGTAAGAAAGTTTGATGAGATCATGCACGAAGCAGATGGTATCATGGTGGCTCGAGGAGATCTGGGCATTGAAATCCCACCGGAGAAAGTGTTTTTAGCCCAGAAGATGATGATTGGTCGATGCAACAAGAACGGAAAGCCTGTTATATGCGCAACTCAGGTCAGTAAATAGATAATATGGAAACAATGAATAAATAATATCGTCTAATTAACAACAGTAGAATTAATTTTGCGTCGTTAGCACCTATAAAACTTTGGAATTTCAATCCTGTGGAAAAGCTGGAGCGTCAAACCCAAGAGAAAGGCGCGAGGAGCTAGGGAACTCTGTCCTATCGCGCGCGCTTGTCCACCTTCCTCGCGAGCATTACCTATTCCCGCGTATTTTTTGCGCCTATCAGGCCGGCTAACGCGAAAAATATCCGTGCACTGCTCAATTCGCACTGCTCTACCTTTGATGATGTGACAAGTTGTTGAATTGGTAACCAACATATTTTATTGTACCAACAGATGTTGGAAAGCATGATTCATAATCCTCGTCCTACTCGTGCTGAGGGTTCAGATGTTGCCAATGCTATTCTGGATGGAGCTGACTGTGTAATGCTTTCTGGTATGTTTTGATGGAAGCTAGTAAAAAACGCCTTAAACTAAACGCCCTATTCACGGTATCTTAGCTAATAAGGCGGAGCTTTAGCATCGACGACTCCGACGGCAACGGAAGCGAAAACGTCACTTTTGAAATGCTTTTGCTTTTTTCCTACTTTTTCGTGTGTGTTTTATTATTTTTTTTCCATTTCGCTGAAAATGTTAAACGTAGGCGAATTTCCGTGGAGTTGATTTCTTGGGGACCACATTCAAGTTTAGAAAGGGAAAGAAAAATTCGTAGTCGCCCGTTTGAGTCCTCCACAGAACGTGAAATTAGGCATTTTTACGTCGTAATCGTGCAGTGACGGCAAAGAAATGGTCAAAAAAGTGTGGTGCACGTGCAAAGTTGTTGTTTTTAATAAACCGATTTCTTTTTTCACTTTCTTGTTGGTGTCGCCATCGTCGTTGCGAAAACTCCTTAATGAATTACCTGGGATTAAATGACAGTAAACCGCCATAATTCTGTTGCAGCTTCCCTTGCGAGTAGGACGCTGAAGTTGATGCGATCTTTTGCTCGCTTCAATTGGAGAGGATCGCTTGCTGCGCATGCTACTTTGATTACAGTAAATTTAGACTACTTACTACGAGTAGTCCCTCATTTTCCTCAGGAATAGTGGAGTGAGCGAAACGCAAGCGCGTGTGAAAATCATCCAACGCGAGAAAGGCGAGACGCAACGGGGAGAGAGAAACCACGCACGCCTTTCTCGCGTGGGATGATTTTCAAGCGCGTTCGCGTTTCACTCGCTCCACTATCCCTAAGGGAAAATGAGGGACTACTCGTAGTCTACTGTAAATTAGACGAGTCTGTAGGGGAACTCCTGTTCATATAAAGAAAGGAAACGACTTTATTACGGACCACTCTTTCAGTGCGCCCTCGCGCGTGCTATATACTCTATCCATAGTTACTTTTGAGTTAGCGACAGACGAGACTTAAAGAGTCAGTTTAGTCAAGCCGGTTCCCTAACAAAATCGTTTCCAAGTCGTTTTCAACAAATACTGACGAAAAACCGGATCAACTTAGGTTTCTGGAAACTACCTTTAAGCTAACATTAGCACTCACGTCTCACTTTGGGCAAAATGATGGCTTAGGGGAGGGGTCGATGGGCAGTTTCCTCGAAACTAAAATTGATCCGAAGAAACTAGGGGTCCCTGATTGTTGAAACCGTGGTCTAAGTGAGAGACAATCGCCCATCAGTACATTATTATTATTTAGCACGGTGTATCCCCGTTAATACGGACACTGAGGGGGCCATGGAAAGTGCCATGTTAAGGAGGTGCCCGTACGAATCGGGATGAATTTAGCGAAATTGTAAGGGCTAGGGACAAGGAAAACTGTCTGTATTAAGCGGGATTGATTGTACTACGGCGACAGTCATGAAATTGAAACAAAGTAGAGGGGATTAAAAGAATTAACCAACGAGCGTAAAAAGTAAATCATTAACGTTACAGGAAAGGAAAAGTTACGAGAGCGTACGGTACCGTTGCCTCTTGTCTTCAGTCAACAGTTTGAAATGAAGGGTTTTGTTGTTGTTCATAATTCCAGGTGAGACCGCGAAAGGTCGTTATCCAGTAAAAGCCATAGCCATGATGCACAAGATTTGCCGTGAAGCAGAGGCCGCCATTTTTCACAGGCAGCTGTTTGATGACTTGAGGCACTCTATGAACAGAGTCGCAGATACTCACGAAACAACTGCCATAGCTGCAGTGGCTGCGTCATTCACAGCTAATGCGGCATGCATAGTCTGTCTTACGCACACGGGAAAGTAAGTCGAGTGCCCAGGGGCGGGCGGAAGGGGGGGGGAATGAACAAAATGTTAAACGCGGAGGTTCCGCCCCGAGGTCCAACCCCTTACCTGCCTTTTATATACCATTTTTGTCAGAAAATGTACCCCTTTCACATACCTTGTTTAGAATACTAGACCCCTTGTAACTGCTGTAAATGCACTTTCTTTCAACAATGAATAATTCAAAAAGCAGAACGGTTTTTCGACTTTTTCACCGCCATAAAATGCATTTAGACACACGTTAACAGATTTCCCAACCCTTTCTTATACTTCAAATAGTGAAATCCGTACCCTTTCACATACCTGAAGCCTGAACAAGGTACCCCTTTTGGGCGGAACCTCCCCGTATAGGCCATTATAGGGAGTAACCCCCACCCCCCCCCACCCGGGGGGGGGGGGGTCTGCGTAGCTGGCGGAATTGTTTTTGCTCGTGTGAGAGTTTTTGTTTTTCCCGTGCGTCTCCTCCCAATTCTCCGCACGAAGCTCCTCTGCTAAAACTTTGCTCGTGCTACAACGATCCCGCCGGTTACGCAGGCTAGTCAAGTGAAGACCAAGATTATTTACCTTTTACAAATAAAATGTTTCCTGGTCAGAAAGTTAATGGCAAACGACCTTCTTGGTCATTCCGGGAGAAACAAAACGTTTGAGAAGGCAGTCCTGTTTTCTCGTTCGGGGTGTTTCAAACAGAAATTAGAGTCCCAATTGTCTTCCTGCTACATAACGGATAACAAATCTTAGTTTACGCGGCCGTATCTCAGTAAATGAAAGGGTTTTGTGCAATTATCAAACGGAAGTTCCGAGTGGAATTTTCCTTTGGCGCGTAGAAGAGCGTGCACCATTTGTCCAAACCGTAAACCGAAATAAACTGATCAGTTTTCCAATGTTAATGCTCAAAGGGTTATTAGGGAGCTTAAGATCCGACGACGGCGACGGCAACGGGAACACCACAAAAGCAATAGGTTTAATAACCAAAACAACAATTTTGCACGTGCATCAAGCATTTCTTTGCCGTCACTGCACGACTACGACGTGAAAATGCCTAATTTTAAGTTGTACAGAGGAAGTACACAAGCGACTACGAAATTTCCTCTCTCTTTCTGAACTTAGATATGGTTCTTAGGAATTCAACTTTAGGATGGTTCACCCACATTTGAAAAAGTTAGTGACTTGCAGTAATCGCGATGAAGATTGAAATAACACCAATTCACTTTTTTAGCGACGTTTTCTCTGCAGTCGCCTTCCTCGGATCTTAAGGTCCCTATTTTATCGGCTGGGACGCAACATAGTGTTCGTTGCCGTTGTAGGAAGGCGTTAAAATTATTTTTGTCTACTTTTTCCTTTAGGACTGCTGAAGTAGTGGCGCGCTTTCGTCCCCGCTGCCCTATCATCGTGGTAACACGTGACGCACGCGTGGCACGCCAGATGCACTTATACAGGGGCTGCTTTCCGCTCATTTACGATAGACCGCCAAAAGAGAACGTGCTTGAAGAACACGATGAGCGGCTTGAATTTGCGCTGGACATGGGCAAAAGGATGGGATTCATGAAAGTAGGAAACGCGTTTGTGTTTGTGTCGGGTTGGAAGGCTGGTGCAGCTCATACCAACACAATCCGCATCCTTACTGTCATGGAAGAGAAGATTCATATCGCCAAGAGTCTGTCAGAGTCCGCAGATATAAAAGGGAGGATGCAAAACTTGACCGTGCCCTAGGCGTTAAATTTGCCAGCATGAGTAACTCTCAGAAGTTTTTAACTTGGAGTGGTTTTTGACAGTGTGAAACATGTAGACGATGCTGAATTCAATATTGCTAGGAAATAGATTATTTATCGTGTATTTGGATTTTTTGATCACAATGAGCTTTCGTGTCAGTTGCAAAACTACTGGCTAAGGCGGCTGGTGTGAAAAAGGCAAACTGAATAAACTCATCTTCAGTTGTTATTATTGATTTATAGTTGCATTTTATTTTTTCCATGTGGTTCAGAGTCTGAAGGGGGGGGGAGGGGTTGGGGTTGGCCTTTTTCACGACAACTATCTTCCGCATCCCAAACGTCTGTCATCTGCGCCTCGAGTATCGTTTTTCTTTCTCAACCCTTTTTGGTGCATGATTTTGGCGAATCTCGCATTCCCACTAGCATTCAAATCCCGTGTCCCGTCAAGACTTTTTCCTTTTCCCGAATCCCGCTCTGTATTTTAGTCAAATCCCGCGTCCCGAAAATACCCTTCCAGGGAAAAGCCCTGGAGACTAGCGATTTGATGTTGTCGCTGTTAAACGTCTTGAACAGCGGAGTACAAAATTATACCAACGACAGTCAACAATTTTACAGATGTTTTACTTGACCCGTGAAACAGATACTAACAACTATTGCAAAATAGCTACAAGTAAACAAAAGAAGGCAATGGAATTAGTGCATAATAGTGGGAAGTTTTCTACTACCTATTTCGCCTGTTAAGTAAAATCACTCTAATGCTGTTATTGATTTGTCTCAATTATGCCTGCAAAATAGTCATTGATCATGTTTGCTAATGATTTGATATCCATGTCACTGTCAAGGAACTGATAGTGCCAGTCCTGTTTGATGTCCCGCCTGACCGGTGAGCTTTTTAATCTCTCTCCACCACTTTGCAGGATTCACTTATTCTACTTCACCCTATTATACCTGCCAACTTTTTCTCTCAGATATAAGGGTGAGATTTTTATCCTGGGAGTGCTGGGATTTTTAAGACGACACGATCGTTTCCGAAGATTCCCGAAGAAGCCCGCAAGTCTTCCGAAGTTTTCCGAACACGTCCGAAGTCTGCCGAAGGCGAAGTTTTCACCTGCTTTTCACTTCAAAAATCAGAGATCGCGAGGAAGGTATTGTCATTTATTCATTTTACACGTGGTTTTCGTTCCTTACATGGGTCTGAGTTAACATATTTTTGGAAATCGTGTCAAGCAAGACGGCAACAACTCACATTTTTCAATCAGGCGTGAGAAATCGGCCCGCAAGCGTGAGTCGGCGTGAGATCGAAGTTTTCAACCCGCAGGCGTGAGACTCACGCCTAAGGCGTGAGAGTTGGCAGGTATACCCTATTATGATAGTAGTGGTACTTTACTGTTCTTACAGCGCATTGCACCTTATTTCTCCAGAGTCGGTAAGCTATTGAGTTCTTCCCCTGCTGAATAAATGCAGCTTGGCGCTTACGGATCCACATTTGATTTTATTAGTGATCCAACGACAGTCTGTTGGGTGTTTTTTAACAGCTCTGTAAGGGAGAAACATAAAGAAATGTTTCTTCGCACTAAGGCGCGCCCAAAATAGCTGACCAGTCCTTCGGTGTAAGCCATCGCACAAACGCGCGCCAAGCACTGTCGCGCATCTCACACAGATTAAATCAGTGAAAGGTTCCGGCAATTCTACTTTTTTACAAAAAGATCAACTCTGCTACTTGAAAAGAGCAGAAAAATTAACTTTCTGCATTCATTTTTCATAGAACAAAATGCAAAATTGTTACCTTAATTGTTAATGCCAGTCGATTAGGTGAAAAGTTAAAAAAGGTACCTTTTTAGAAAAATAGGCGGGTATTTTAAGCTTTCGAGTGAAAATATTTTGACGTCAATATTGTCCACTTTTCATCCATTTCTCACTTTACCAAACGATGATTTTTAGCGCGAAAAAGGTACCTTTTTGTCTCTTTCAAGCGATCTCATGAAAGGCACAAAAAGGTACCTTTTTTGCAGTTGGAAGCGATGTTGTTAAAAGTGCGAAAAAGGTACCTTTTTAAAAATATAAAATAGTGTTTTCAAACTTTTGGGAAGCCATTCAAAATCCTACTGATGGACGTATGTCATCCGTTGGCACCTCTTGAGCTTCAATGAACGATGCACGGACTTTTTTTAGGGGATTCTAGGTGATCCTGTTAAAATTGAAATGATCTACAAGCTAGGGAATCAGCGGAGCAAGAAATTTTAGCTCGCTTCTTTAAGCCAAGATCAAAAGCGAGAAACTAGAAAAAATCCGAAAATACTAGTCACCAGTCAAATGGATAAAATGGCTCCCGAAAATGTTAGTAACAACTTCTGGTACTTTAAAACTAGATGCAAGAAGAGAAGCTCAGCAAGCGCAATTTTAAGCGTGAGCAAACACTTTAACCTGAAAGAAGTCCTACATGTAAAGCAAAAGTGTTCATTTTCCTTTAAGTCTAAACTAAGCGGGTTCCGAGCGGGTCATTTTAATATAACTGTCTTGTTTCCTGGGTGATGTTTTTCACTCCAGAAAGGTTACTATTAAATTAGAGACTTCAGTCTTGGGGTTATTTTTCTTTGCTATGATATGAATTATATAAATAATTTAACTTCAGGTGCTTTTTGAGCTACAGGCCGAAGTAAAGCCATTAACAGTCGAAATGCCACCATACATGTACCTCTGACATCCCCTAACTAAATACTAAGAGTAAGCCTGAACAACTTTCCTCTTCTTAGACTTTTATACAGTAAGCCAGCATTTTTTTCGAGAACTTTGGTGGAATTTTCCGGAAATTTTTTTTTTCACGGAAAATGAAAATTGGAAATTTCCAAATAGAAAATAAACTTTCAATAGTCAAAATAAAAAAAATTCAAGTGCCACTGTTTAGACAATTGTCTTTGGTGTATTAAATCCATTAACATACATTCTTGCTATTTTAATACTTGTACGTATCATCATTGCATCATCGCGCGTTTTAGTGAATTTTCTTAGGGTGAGCATTTTATTCGAAAAATGGAGCATTAAGGTGAAGCATTTTAGCGAGGAAACAAAAAAGCATTTTAAATGCACAAGAGACTGGCCCGGCTTCTCTTCAGGTTACTTATAACTGACACCTGTCATTCATTGATAACCACCGAGCCAGCGACAATGCTTCCATCTCCACTCCGACACTGATCAAGATGGCTCACACCCATGCCAAAATCAAGCAAGGGGGATAGATTTTAAAACTGCGACCTGACACTGTACATGTTACAGTGTCAAGCTCAGCAATTGGTTTCAAACTTGGCGAATAAACTGGGGATATTTATCTCTTGACAAGTGGATTAGTAAATTCAGACAAAAAATTCATAAAAATGACACCAAACAGTTGACATCTGTCAATCAGTAGGATTCTAAATGGTTTCCCATGGCTTGAGAACACTATTAAAGGTACCTTTTTCGCGCTTTTGAGAACATCACTTCCAACTGCCAAACAGGTACCTTTTTCGCGCTTTTGAGAACATCGCTTCCAACTGCAAAAAAGGTACCTTTTTGTGCCTTTCATGAGATCGCTTGAAAGCGAAAAAAAGGTACCTCTTTTGCGCTTTAAAACATCGTTTGGTAAGGTGAGAAATGGATGAAGAGCGGACAATATTGACGTCAAAATATCATTCACTCGAAAGTTGAAAATACCTGACTTCTTTTTCAAAAAAGGTACCTTTTCTTAACTTTTAACCTAAACGACAAGCATAGACAAAAAAGGTAACAATTTTGCATTTTGTTCTATGGAAAGTGAATGCAGAAACTTAGTTTTTCTGGTGTTTTTAACTAGCAGAGTTGACCTTTTTGTAAAAAAGTAGAATTGCCGGAATCTTTCACTGATTTCACACGTCATTATTTTGTGAATGGCCGCGTTTCGTAACACGGAATAAGCGCGTCCGTACTTGGAATTGTTGTCCAGAGTACTTATCCACTTAACAACGTTAGATGACCAACCCATTCCTGCGAACTTATAAAGGTCACGTGTAACATTTACCATATTCGCCACAAGATCTTCATAGCGAACAACTTTAAAGCGATCTCTAAGCCAAGATAGGCAAGAAAACAGACCAAGTCGTATATTCTGTAGCATTGGATCAAATACGTTTTGAACACTTCGAAATTCGGGGCTGTTAAAGTTTGTCTTCATCCATCCTAGCTTAACCCTGGAATAGACCACTCCTCTTGGATCGCGAACCAAGTTAACCAGTTTTGCATCATATTGATTTTGTTCTTGGAAAAGTTTTTCTAAAGTCAGTTTTGTCGTATTGGGCACTCGATGAGACAAAATCTTGATCACAGTGCGCTCATAACTCTTAAAAGCATTGCTAAGACGTTCTTTTGAAAACTGTGGGAAGCTGCCTTCTGGACAGCGTTTTACTTTTCTTGCGGAACATTCGAGAGCGCCGACAGAATAGTGTTGTCAATTTTGTCAAAGCCGCATTTAAAGAAGTTATTGATAATGTTGATAGTTGTTTCTTTGAATTTTGTTGGCTGCCGTTTCTTAGGGATTTGATGTATGATAGTGTGATATAGACGGGCTCAAACCAGTACATGATGTGCGGATAGTTGTTCAATAAAGTACCAAGTAAGGAAGATCTACTTCGGCCTGCACCAGAATAAGAATTATGAGATTTTTCCGTTTTGGTAAACATTGCTTTGTTATGTTTCCCCTTTTCTCGCTCACATGTGTTTCGTTGTAAGATTCATTGCAGCTGTTTGCCCTCAAAGCGGAGGAGTCCTTCATTCTTATACCCGTATGGACAACCTTTTTCTTGTTAAGTGTCTTCAAAAGTTTGTCTCCTGAAGTCTCGTCTCTTATCGATAGTTCTCTTCGCCCTTCTTTCTCAACCTTTTCTCCATAAAATACTCTTACGAACAAGCTTTTAGAACTCAGGCCCGTAGCAGGGGGAGGGGCAGGGGGGGCTCGAGCCCCCAGAAATTTTCAGACGAATTAAATTCTGC